GGTTCTTAGTGTAACAATTGTAAATGTGAAAAAGAGAAAGATAAAGATATTGAGAAAACAGTAATAAAAGACATCTCATTATATATTAGCATATTTAAGTAGCTAAAAAATATGAAGGATAATGGTTCAATGATAAATAACATGGATATGGTTCAGAAGTGTGGCCAGATGGATTATCCTTTCAAGGATTCTTTTAAAACAGTTTTAAACATGGAAAAGGTAAATTTATATATTATATTTCTTACATTATTATTATCAATTTAACACAAATATATTAATATCAAATAGAAATAAAAATGGCAAAAGTGTTTATTTTATTAATTAATTTTCTTAAACACTGCTTAAAATTGCCTTTCTTTTTAAGTTATTATTTATAAACGACCATTAAATAAACTAGTAGTTTTGATAGATGGAAACTTGAATAGTAATTATTTATGTGTACATAGGGTAATATATATAAGTGAATTTTATTATAATACCCAAATATATACTTTAAATTTTTTGGAAGATATTTTATCATATTATAAGCTTATACTAAATATATTATATATAAATCAATCCTATTTTAATGACTTATCTGATCATGCAATATTAATTACAAACATTTAGTTAAAAAAATTCCTATTAAGTAATAAACAAAACATATTGCTAATAAATAAAAAATAGATAACTAAATAATATCATATCTTAATAATGTTAAGATTTATAAGAATTTTACTATAAAATAAAAAATAACTATCATCGATTTTAATATTTCTCAAGAGTAAAAGAAAAAACTTTTTAAATAACGTAATATTAATTCATAAAATAAAATTAAGAAATTCTTAAATTTATTAGAGAAAAAATTAAGATCTAATGATTCAAAATAATCACATAAAATGATTAAGCAATTTATTATTATTCACAAATAAAAAAGAGATGGAGGTATAATGAATTTTTTTGTAAAATAACTAAATGATAACTAATCAAGATACTATATTACTCAATTGTATTAATATTCTACATCAGTAATTACCAACATTAAATATAATATTAAAGGAAGAATTCAATTATATGAAGTAAAAAATGAGTAGTAATTAAGCTCTAACTAATGATTTGATTTCAATCACTTGGATTAAAAAATAGCAAACTATGAACTTTTAAGGGATATATGGAATAATGATTTTACTTAAATCGTCGAATAATTTTGTGAAACAAGATTAATTCTAATAAACAAAATATATCCTTCAATACCTTTTAAAGACTAGTTCAGACCAATTATAATTTAAAGTCCATTATTCAAATGGTTAGAATTAAGATTTTTCAAAAAACTTAGTGAATTTTGCTAAAATAATATCATAAAAGAATAATATGGTTTTATTTCAGGCTATTGAACTGCACCATAAATATTTCGATTAGTAAATTTATCAATCTTCAAAAAAAGCTTAAAAATTTGTAATATTTTATTATCGATTTTAAATCAGTATATAACACAAGAAAATTAGAAAGTTTATTTATTTATATCAATTAAAAATAAATTTTAACATAAGAAGAAGTAAAAATTTTACAAGCTTAAATGAGTTGGTAATTTATTCACTATAAAAATATCAAATATTCATTCTAAAATGGATTACCATAAGGTAGTTTTTTATCTCCATTTTTATTCAAAATTTACACAGATTTATTTATAAAGAAATAGTAGATGAAAAAAATTATTAATATATCTAATAAAATATTTATATGCAAATGATATGATATGCCATTTATCATAAAACATAAATTCATAAAAAAAATTTATTAATGATATTTAAGAAGTTAGTTAAGAATTAAAATTAATTATTAATTATTCAAAATGTGGCTTGATGAAAATTAAAGATTTGGAAGATGATATTTCAATTTAATATGATGTAATTCCAATAGTTTAAACTTATAAACATTTAGGAATTTTAATTGATACTTAAGGATCTATAAAATCTTAATTAATTATAATAAAATAAAATTTAAGTATTTAACTTAATAATTCAATAAAATTACAAAAGATTAATAATTATATATATATTCAAGTATTTATTTTAATACAACTATTTGTGTAATAATTTATAATTTTAATTAAATGTCTCAAATTCGAAAATAGACAGGTAAAATTAAGTTAAGTATTTGTAGAACTTTATGTATGGGGAAGTAATATTTTTATTTAATATAAAAAGATTGCTAATATGGTTAATTGGGATTAGGGGATGAGTATATAAAATAGAATGTAAATAATCCGAAATGTTGTTCATATAAAATTATTGTGGTCAAAATTGCCTGTGGTTTTCAACATTCATGCTTATTAATAAATAATGGAAGCTTATACACTATGGGTTTGAACGAATAAGGACAATTAGGTCTCAACACGTAATTGGATTTTAAATTTGAATTTAGGCAACTTTCTTATATTTCTACTCCTTAATTAATTGAATTAAAAGGGCCATTTATAAGAGTTAAAGCAGCTGCTAATTATACAGTAGCTTAAAGAGATACAGGAGAGCTTTACACATGGGGATAAAACTAAGCATTTAACATTCATACAAATTAACCATAATTACTCAAAATTAAGAAAATCAATTAGTTTTCATGTGGAGAACATCATATGGGATTAATAGATTTTAATTGTTAATTATATATGTGTGGATCAAATGATTATGGTTAATTGGGTTTGAATTGTTATGAAAGTGTAAGTGAATTAATTGATATATTTTAGTTTGTTCCTTAATAAGTG